CATGACACAGACTGGTAAAGGGGGGACGCCGCCAGTCGCTCCGACTGCCAGGCAGGCAAATGGGATGACAAAGGCAAGGACAAGGCGAAGCAGCTGGAAGGTGAGATGTTGGCATATGTATCCATGAGGAGGAGCATCAGATAGAAGTAGTTGGTGCTGAGTTGGGCAGCTCGCAAGAGCAGAGGCCCATGAGTCCAACAGCTTCGCCAGTCATTGGAAAAGTCACGCCATCGTAAGCTTCCAATCAGAACAGCGGAATATTCGGCCAGAGTCTGGAAGCTCAGTCTCCGTTTAAAGCCATTGCCCCAGGCAGCGGCGACAGCGACTTGCGCATCGTCCCCGCCCTGCCCAAGAATGCAAAAAGCCATGTTCATTGGGAGCCGCCACCAGCTGACCCGGCATTGCTCACAGGGCACACTTTGAAATTGCAGGGCGAACTGTCCGCACTAGGGCCAACCATCCGCCTGAAGAAGAACAAGGGAGACGATATGACGGCAGAAGAAGAATGGTAGGCTCCCATGTTGCCTGCTATCAAGATGGCCTGTCCACCAAGCGAGCATTTGGCAAGTCAACAGGCAGAGTTCCAGAAGGCACATCAGCACACAGAGCAGTGCCAGAGCATTGTCAATACCAAGCAGGCCGAATTGAATGCAGCCCGAGCTGATCTCGACGGTGCGCAGCTGATGCAAGACCGTTACACAGCTGCCCTGAAACATATTAAAGTTCTCATGGAGCAGTACTCCAAGCCACCTCCACAAGTCGGAGAGCCACCGGCGCTACCAGAGGGAGAAGTGACTGCGGCGCCAGCCGCCCCACATTCCCATGCGCCAGGAACTTCCAATGCAGCATCAGGCATAGTTGATCCCGCGGCGCTGCAGTCACAGATTGTCATCTTCAGAATCAGCAGGCGGAGAGACAGCGGTTCACGACGGAAACCAGTCTTTTGCCAGATAAGAGGCCAATGTCAGTACAGTCGACCCGTATCGTAAGGATGCGCGATAAGGATGCAAGGGCCTTGAAAACCATCTCGAAGCTTTTCGAGCGGGGCGCGGCAAACGAAAGCGGCCAAGAATGGACCGAGGAGGCAAGGATAAAAGAATACTCTGGGTTTCTTACTAAGCGTGGGGGGTCCCCCCCCGACGGGGGTCAACCTCGCCTCGTCGTCGCGCCGCGACGGGGGTCGGAGCGCCTTTGGCGCGCAGTGGCTGCCCGCGACGGGGGGCGATATGGGGCTGTCGGCGGGGGTGACCCCCCCCCGATGCTTATTAAGAAACTCGGAATACCCTTGGGAAGGTTGCCGTCCTTACTGTGCGAGATGACTGTGGTCAAGCATCCTGAGATGAAAGAGGGCCAGCTTCGAACAAGATCCAGAAGTTGGCGGAGCGGCACGCTGCGGCAAAGGCAGGCAGGCAGACGGCGCGCCGGGCCTCACTCGGCTGACTCGTTGCTCTCTCTGCCGCAGAGCGGCGCAGGGACATCAAGCGCAGCCGCTGCACCATGTAGCTCACAGTGCGCCCCAGCCGGTCCCAGGCCCCCTCTGCAGGGACAGTCATGCCCCCCCGCCCCCCCCCCCGGCAGAGCTTGCAGCAGTGGCCCAAGTCCGCCCCAGCACCAGGACGGGACCCCGCGGCGGCGGGGGCGCGTCCGATCGGTGGTCGACAGACCGCGCAAGAGCCGAATCGCCATCCGATCATTTGGTGCGCCCTCGGGCCCGCCGCCCAGGGGGACACATTCGGGTCAGGGTGGCAAGGCTCAGGCTCTTCGGCGAATGCTCCGCAACTTTGACATGTATACGTCCCACAGGAGGACAGGTGCAATCCAGTGCCTTGGCTTGAGCAAATGAGGGATGGCCTGGCATGGAGCAGGAAAACTGCCCATCAGATAATGGACTTCCCACGCCAGTTGTTGATTTGCAGCACTGGATCAACTTCATTCGCGCGGCACCCAGGCGACGGCAAGGCATTGCTAAGCATGCAGGATAAGCCTGGGCCAACGAGCTTGCACGAAGAGCTAGCGCGCGAGGGCTGGAAGGAGAAGCGATGGCCAAAGCCCACGCAGCTGGGCGACCGCCGCCCAGGGATCAGCCTGAACCCTCTCCCCCATCCTTCCCACGGTCATGCCCTTTTCTGCGCACGCGTTTTTCCATCAGATGCGGAACTGAATACCCACATCAGCAGAGCACACACCGCGTACACTGGCATGATCAAGCGTTTTGCTTTTACCGGGCACCAAATACACAGCGCCCGGCCAGGAACATGCCAGCTTTGCGGTTGTGTGTGGGCACGTACAAAACAACAAACCTTTACGCATCTTGTATTGCGCGATGCACGCGCGTCCGCTCTCGCAGACACAGCGAGCGCCAGTGCAGGAGCAAGAACCAGCAGAGGGGCAGGCCGAGCACACGAAGGGCCTGCCCAGAGCTCGGACAGCTGGGCCTCGACTGCACGGCGATGCCGTGCCGCAGTAGGCCAGACAGCTGTGCGGCATGCACCGTCCGGTCGGCGCGCGGACCCGGGGGCGGGCCTTCTCGGAGGGCTCAGAAGTCCCCCGGGCTGCTGAGAAGTCTCCCGGGCCTTCCCCGAAGACACAAAAAGACCTCTCACGAGGCGCGAGGGCTTCCGAGAAGTCCCGTCGCCCTCTGAGAGGGCCTTCCCCTTCTCATTCCCCCCCCCTTCGCTCGCCGCCGACAGGCGGAAGCACCAGAGCGCATCAGGCAATCGCAAGACCAGCCTGTTGGCCGGCCACCCTCCGCACCTCCCCCTGCCACTAGTGCCTGCTCCTCCCGAGGTCTCGGCAAGGCATTTGGATCTTTCTTTCGACGAAGACGCCTGCACCGATAGCTCTGCGGACCCGTATCCTCGTCCTAGGACGAAACCCATGTTCATGGTTAACATGTTTAGCGGTATGCGCAGGCCAGGAAATAGACAGGATGCTGTCGAAACCATCGCGCACAAGAGCACTCCAAATTCAGGCCCGTGGGTTTTAAGCCTGGACGTTGCTTTAGATGCAGTAAGAAGGCGATTTAGCACACACGCTCACAATTTACTCATGGGACGCACACATCATGTCTGGCAGACTTGCAGTGATAGGAGCCGGACCACCCTGCGAGACGTTCTCGACAGATCGCTGGCTAGGAGCAGGTCCACTCCCATCTCGCAGCTGGCATCAACCGTTGGGGGGTAACGTCCATCACTCCCAGACAGCACACTCGCTTAGATGTAGAGACTTATTATTGTAAACTACCGTTCGATCAATAATGGCAGCAATCAAATGTGGAGCAGCAACATAGGTGGAACATCCAGTGCCTGCAGACTGGCGGCCAGAGGCAGTTCCCCATTGGTGTCTTAAGCAACTTCAAGCTGCGAAAGCGGCACGGGCCACAGCTTTCATTTCGTTTGTTCAGAGAGAGCATGGGCAAGGTGGGAGTGCTCCCACGGGCATTCTAGCAGTTAGACCCCCAACCATGCGAGCATATTTGCAAGTCACACCAGGCAAAGTTGTTTGTTCTCACCCGAGCAGAAAGCACGTCACACTTATTGGCAAGAAAGAAGAGCGGAGAATCTTGCACCTTAGCCAAGACAGTCCGTCAAGCATGCGCAAATTGATTACCAAAGCGATGATGGACCATGTTGAGGTGGACCTAGATGAAGAGGCAGGGTCTCTGCTCGAGAACCCTCTCTTGAAGGTCCCCCTCGACACCTTCGAGATTTAAGTAACAAGGGCAGCTACTGGTGGAAGCCGCAGCGAGCTCCAGTCAGGTTTTTGCCCGCGCGTTCGCAGGAATATGAAGATTGATGGATATGTGCGAGGGAGGGTGATGGGGGACCTGGCCTGACCTGGTAAGTCACAAAGCCAATGGGACTCTGATCGAGGGCCCTCCACTGGAGCTCCCCCCGACACACAATTCTGCAAAGTGACAAGTCGGCTTCTGCGTCTGCCCACTGACGCTATACCTCCTTCTTGTTCTTCGCTTGATTCCACCACTTCTTCTACCTAGTGTGGTACATTCGCTCCTACAGGGGCAGAGTAGCAACGCGTGAAGTCGCAGAGTGCGCTTGAGGGTCTCTGTTCGAGGGCACTCCGTGGAGCCCCCATCGACACCCTCCAGACTTTGAGTGACCAGAGCAGGAGTGCAGCCGGTTGACAGTTTTTGTTGAGAGTGTCTCTGTTCGAGAACCCTCATATTTGACAGTGAATCAAACACAGCAGAGCATGTTACGGTCAGTGCAGCCCTTGCGTTGCAGGGTCCTGCAAGATCCGGCGCTCTGACTGACCCCCATTTGCAATGACCCTCGTTTCTTGAGCTCCGAAGGGGCTCAAATCTTGAGCCCCCAGCCGGGGTGGATGGCTGGGGTCTGGGTGGCGGTTGACTGCCGGGCAGGGAGGGCTATGAGTACCACCCCAGCTGTTTTTTGAGCGCCGAAATCTCCACCCTTGCCCATGCAGCAAAGGGGGGGGGGGCGGGCAGACGGCTCTGCGAGTTTGACGCTTCCTCCTGCCGAGTCGATCCGATCCGACTCCTCCCTACTCCTGCCATCGTCCACCTCATCCTCCGTCTCGTCATCGTCGTCGTCACCATCATCGTCATAATCCTCATCATCACCATCAGCATCAGCATCAGCATCAGCATCAGCATCATCATCATCATCATCATCATCATCATCATCATCATCACCATCATCATCATCATCATCATCGTCATCGTCATCGTCATCAGCATCAGCATCAGCATCAGCATCATCAACAACAGCATCATCGTCATCATCATCAAAACCAGCAGCACCCGTCATCACCATCAAAGCCACCAACAACATCACATTCACCATCATCAGCCATCAGCCTCATCAGCCTCATCATCAGCAGCAGCATCATCAGCAGCAGCATCATCATCCTCGTCGTCATCGGCGGCGTCGGCATCACCGTCATGATCCTTCTCGCGACCAACACAATCACCAGTTGCACAGCTCCCTGTGCCCCAAAGTAAGACAAGCTCCGCGCGCCTCGACCTCTGTGTTGCTACTCCTCGGGGGGGGAAAGAGGGAGAACAACAGCGAGCGGAAAAGACTGCGCACCTTGACTCTGAAGTCAAGCACGTGGGCAGCGCGGAAGACGGGCTGATGGACCGACTTGGGTCGGGGGGGGGGCCCTTGGTCATGCCCATGCGTCGGGCCAGCGCTGTGCAGTCTGCACTCGTGCAGTGGCGCGCGAGATTGCAACGTCGGGGCCTGGCAACCAAAACTCAAAACTTTCAACATTCTGCATGTGGGACCCGCAGACGCTACGAAGAGGGAGGTAAGGGCGAAGGAGGTAGCGGAGGCCACCCCCGTCCACTCATTGTTACGGACAACCACTTAACACGACCCACCGGCAGAGGTGTGGCAATAATGGGCCGGTAGTAGACCTATCCGCCGTGTTCCCCGCAAGAGCAGCTGGGCTGTGTCAGACTGGGATGCGCGTCCCCGCTAGGAAAAAAAATACGACTCTTGAAAAATAGCGCCGAACAATTGGGATTGGTAGCAATACGGACTGACCCGAAACGACTGGCGAGACGCATCTTAACGACAATCGCCCGGCGAACCCCCCACGTCCACGTGCAAAACTGGGATGTGATCAGCAGGCAATGCCTTGCCCGAACCAAAAATGCCCCTTCTTTGCGTCATTGCGAAAAAACAAAAGGACATACGTGTGTACAAGAGCACGGGATATATATAGAAACAGAATCATGCATACGTGTGTGTGTATACGTGCATATACATCTGTGTATATATATATATATATACTTACGTGGGTATGTGTGTGTGTCTGAAAACACGTTATGTCGTTAGCTATCCTCTTTCTTTCTCTCGATTTCTCTCTATACATACATGTATACATCCCTCGTACAAGTATGTACATATACGCTTTCATATACCTATACCTCTATATATATATACAGTTATATAGATATCCCTGTACATATGCCTATATCCATAGATACATACATATATATATACAAACATACATCCCTCAGCATGTTAGCTCTCCTGTCTCCCTCTCTTTCTATATATATATATAGATCGTTATCTCCCCCCCTTCGTGTTTCTCTCTCTCGCTCTCTGTCTCTCTTTCTCTCTCTTTCTCTCTGTCTATTTACCTATATCTGTAGATTAATGAACATATCCTGCTCTGCTTTTCTCTCTTTCTCTCTCTCCCTCTCTCTCCCTCTCTCTCTCTCGCTCTCTCTCTCTCTCTCTCTCCCTCTCTCTCTCTCTCTCTGTCTATGTCTTTCTCTCTCTGTATATGTATCAATATGGTGTTTTATCTCTCCCTCGTTCTCTCTCTCTCTCTCTCTCCCCCTTCTCTCCTTCTACCTCTCTCTCTCTCTCTCTCTCGCTAGCTCTCTGTTTCTCTCTCTCCCTCTCTTTCTCCCGCACACTTGGTCGCTCTTCTCTCTCCCTCTCTCTCTCTCTCTCTCTCTTTCTCTATCCCTCTCTGTATCTCTCTAGCTATCTCTCTCTCGCTCTCTCGCGTTATCTCTATCTCTCTCTCTCTCTCCCCCTCTCTCTCTCCCTCTCTCTCTCTCTCTCTCCTTCTCTCTCTTTATGTCTTTATGTCTTTATGATTATCTCCCTCTCTCTCTCTCTTTCATTTCTCTCTCTCTCTCTCTTTCTCTCTTTATCTCTCTCTCTCCCTCTTTCTCTCTATCGCTCTCTCTCTCTGTCTCTCTCTCTCTCTCTCTCTCTCTCGCCTTGCCATAAGTATGTGCACATATACATATGTAATGTACCTCTCTCTCTGTCCCTCTCTCTCTCTCTCTCCCCCCCCTCTCTCTCTCTCTTTCTCGAACTGTCTCCCTCTCACTCTCTCTCTCTCTCTCTCTATCTCTCTCCCTGTTACCTTCAGCGCGTAAATAGACATAGGCATACAAACAAAGCATATTATACGCGTGTCTGTATACGTGTAGGCACTGCTGTCTGCCCATGCCATGCTCGAAGCGGTAAAACCAGGACTCGTCCTCCACTTCTTCCTCATCATCATCAGCTGCATCAGCATCCACATCATTACGATCGTCATCGTCATCATCATCATCAGCAACTTCATCTGCAGCAGCATCATTTTCATCATCAGCCTCAGCATCAGCATCATCAGCATCATCATCATCAGTAAGATCGTCATCATACTCATCATCGGCATCGTCATCATCGTCGTCATCGTCATCATCAGTTTCATCAGCATCGTCTTCTTCATGATCATCAGCATGGTCATCAGCACCTCATCAATTAAAGCGACCACTATCATACTCATAATCCCCAAAAGCATCACCATTAGCACCATCATCATCGTCATCGTCATCATCAGCATCATCATCAGTACTACCATCAACATTCGCGCCCGTACTATCACAAGCATCATCATCATGGTCATCAGCACCACCATCAATTACCACAACCATCGTACTCATCATCCTCAGGGTGATCATCATAATGATCATCGTCAGCATCATCATCATCATCATCATCATCATCATCATCATCATCATCATCATCATCATCATCATCATCATCATCATCATTATCATCGTCATCATCATTATCCACATCATCACCACCAGCACCATATCCACCATCATCACCACCAACACCGCCATCATCATCAGCATCATCATCGTCGTCGGCATCGTCATAGTCCTCATTCGTCCTTCTCGTGGAAGTATACCTGTTGTCTTCCCTCCTCCTCCGCCTCCTCATCTTCCTCATTCCTCCTTCTCTTACCATCTCAACGCCAAGGGCATGCCAACCACACTTTTCGCATTCAGCAGCAAAGACCGCAAGCGCTAATACTATTTCCGCCTTCTCCTCGGCCCCTCTCCCTCACCCTCCTCGCCCTTGCTCCTTCCTCCTCCTCCTACTACTACTCCTCCTCCTACTCCTCCTACTCCTCCCAAATTACCTTCCCTTCTAAGTGACTCCTCCCTGTCGCACCCAGAGTCCTGTCGGCAGGGCTGGCCGGGCGTTTCGCCTGAGACCTTCACACCATGCACAATCCCTAAACCGAAAATGTGCAACAGCTTCACGGATGGAGGGCGGGCCGTCATGTTAACGTTAAACGATGGCTCTCGCCTTAGCGCCGCACACTAGAAGTTTGCCAGAGTTTCGCGGCTGGCAGGGAGGCGTTCTGAATGTGGCTCTCGCTTCAGCACCGCGAACATTCGTCCTGAAAATTTGCACGAGCACCTTTTCAAAATGAAGCTCTCGCCTTAGCGCCGCGCGGGTTCGTCTTGTGGTAACGTCCCAGAAACTGCGTCTTGGAGCGATGTGAGATTGTCAGGGCGCAACAGTTACGTTGATTCGCTGTGTTGAGGGGTCCCAGAAACGGATTTCAGTCACGATTCAGGATCGTGCGGCGTTAATGTCCTAGGAATGGTGTCCTGGTAAGGAACATGACTTTCACTTCCAACGGGGCACTTCCCTCAGTGAAGGTGAGCCATTTGTAGGGACCTACGGCGAGAAAATTTAGAGGAAGCGTGTATTGCAACATCGTTGGTGAGTCTTGGGTTTACACTGGTCTTCCTCCTCCTCCTCCTCCTGCTCCTCCTCTTCTTCCTCACCCTACCCCCCCCCCCTCCCCCCCCCCCCAAAAAAAAAACGAACGGCGGAGGGCTCCACGCGTTACTGGTGGGCTTCGGCATGCAGAAGAGCTCGAAACCGTCGGGCAACTGCTTGCCTGGCTCGCGCGCGCGCAAGGCTCACACACTTGGTCCATGCTCCACCCCCCCTCATTTCCTCGTTTGCCTCTCCTCCTCCTCCTGATCCTCCTCGTCCTCCTCATGCTCCTCCTCCTCCTCCTCCTCTTCCTGCTCCTCCTCCTCATCATCCAGCGGAGCGGCTCTGGAGCGACACTGGGCCCCGCGATTGGCATCTGAATGGGGCCGACACCCTTGAGCCAAAATAAGATGCTCCGTCTCCACCTCCCTCCACCTCCTTCTCCATCTGCTCTTACATGCCCTCCATCTCATCCTCCCCCTTACCCTCCACAATCCTCCTCCGCTTCCTCCTCCTCCTCCTCACATTCCCCCTCCCCCTGCTCCTCCTCCTCGCCCTCTTCTAGCATCATCCTCCTCGGTTGCCTCCTCCTCCTCCTCCTCCTCCTCCTCCTCATCATCATCATCATCATCATCAGCAGCAGCAGCATCCTCATCATCATAATCATCATCAATACCATCATCATCATCATCATCATCATCATCATCATCATCATCATCATCATCATCATCATCATCATCCTCATTGTCATCACCATCGTCATCTTCATAATCATCATCAACATCGTCATCATCGTCATCAGCATCATCACCATCATCATCAGTATCATCATCAGCATCAGAATCAGCATTAGCATCATGATTATCATCATGCTACATGGCTGTCAACGTCAGCATCATCAGTATCAGCATCGGCATCAGAATCTGCATCATCATCAGAAGCAGCATCATCATCACCAACATCAGAATCATCATCATCAAGATCGTCATCAGCAGCAGCCTCCTCAGCAGCAACATCATCATCATCAGCATCAGCATCATCAACAGCAGCAGCATCAGCATCATCATCATCATCAAATTCGTCAGCATCATCATGATCATCACCATCATCAGCAGCAGCATCATCATGATCAGCATTATCATCATCAGCAGCATCACTATCAGCATAGTCAACAGCATCAGCATCAGCATCATCATCATCATCGTCATCATCCTTCTCATCATCATCATCATCATCAGCTTCATCCGCATCATAGTCATCATCGCCAGAATCCTCAACAGCATCATCACAGTCATCATCATCATCATCATCATCAGCATCATCATCATCATCATCATCAGCATCATCAATACCATCATCATCAGCAGTGTCATAACCATCGTCAACATCATAATCGTCATAAACATCGTCATCATCATCCTCATCAGCATCATCACCATCATCATCAGTATCATCACCATAAGCATCAGCATCAGCATCAGCATCAGCATTATCATCATTATTATCATCATGCTACATGACTGTCATCGTCAGCATCATCATTATCAGCATCGGCATCAGCATCTGCATCATCATCAGAAGCAGCGTTGTCATCATCATCATCATCATCATCATCATCATCACCAACATCAGAATCATCATCATCAAGATCGTCATCAGCAGCAGCCTCCTCAGCAGCAACATCATCATCAGCATCAGCATCATCAACAGCAGCAGCATCAGCATCATCATCATCAAAGTCGTCAGCATTATCATGATCATCACAATCATCAGCAGCATCATTATCATGATCATCATCATCAGCAGCATCACTATCAGCATAATCAACAGCATCAGCATCAGCATCATCATCATCGTCATCAGCATTATCGTCATCATCATCAACTTCATCCGCATCAGAATCATCATCGTCAGAATCATCAACATCATCATCACAGTCATCATCATCATCATCATCATCATCATCATCATCATCGTCGTCGTCGTCGTCGTCAGCAGCAGCATCAGCATCACCATCAGCATCATCATGATCATGTTCATCAACATCATCATCATTAGCAGCATCAGCATCAGCATCAGCATAAGCATTATCATCATCATCGTCGTCACCATCATCATCATTGTCAACATCATCATCGTGCATCAGAATCAACATCATCATAATCATCAGCAGCAGCAGCATCATCAGCAGCAGCATCATCCTCCACCGTACATGATTTCTCCTGCATGCAACATGCTGTCGGGTCATCTCTGGCCCTTTCATTCATCAGCCTTCCCCTCCTCCTTCGTCTCCTCCTCCTCCTCATCCTCCTCATCATCATCATCAGCATCGTCATCACCAGCGTCATCATCATCATAATCAGCGGCAGCAGCATCATGATCATCACCATCAATGCCAACATCACGGTCAACTGCATCGTCATCATGGTCGTCGTCACCAACATCAGCATCATCATCAGCAGCAGCATCATCAGCAGCATCATCAGCAGCAGGAGCCGCATCACCATCACCAAAATCATCACCGATATCATCATCCATATCATCATCTGCAGCAGCAGCATCAGCATCAGCATCATCATCAGCAGCAGCATCATCACGATCATCTCGATCATCGCCATGTTCGTCATCAACATCCTCATACCAATCATACTCCATATCATCGCCATATTTATCTCATTATACGTATCCTGGTCCCTCGATCTCGTCCTGCCTCGTTCTCCGCCATCCTTTTCCAGCCTCCTCCATTTCCGCATCCTCTATCCGTGTCCTCCTCCTCCTCCTCCCCCTCCTCCTCCATCGGTCGACGCCAGGACGAGGGTACAATCGGGTGATGATAGATCGAGAATGACTCAGATCCGGCGGCTCTGGAGGATGTATCGGGCGCCACGGCCTTCTCAGAGCTTTCCAGAACGTTCGGAGAGCGTTCGAGAACGCTCTTGAACGGACTTATCCTCGGCGTAGCCCCGTCCGAGTCCATCTCCCGCCTACAGTTGCTCAATCTGAATATGTCTGTCATCTCTCCCCTGATGCTGTTTTTGTTCCCACCCGCCCTTCCCAGCGGACCTCGGGCGTTGTGAGCAGGAGGGGTAGGATTGGGCGAGGAGGGCAACAGGGGAGGATGAGAAGGAGGGAGGGAGGGAGAGGAAGGAGGGAGGGGGAGGAATGGGGGAGGAAGAGTAGAGGAGTTGAAGGGAAAGGGAGGATGAGAAGGAGGGAGGGAGGGAGAGGAAGGAGGGAGGGGGAGGAATAGCAGAGGAGCGGAAAGGAAAGGGAGGAGGGGGGCCTGCGTACTTGGACTGCGTGGAGCAAGGGGACCCCCTGCCTCCGCGGAGGGCCTGCGGGCCAGCGGCGGGTGGCACCCCGAAAGGGCGCTCCGGAGGACTGCCCCTGGAGGCCCGCCCGAGTGGTGCACCACGCACCGGGGGGGGGGGGAGGAGGAGGAGCAGCACAGGGATGCGTTCCACCGCGGCACAAACACATACACACACATACACATACACACACACACATACAGGGCAGTTCCGAATGCACAGGATTTGTTTAAAACATATAGGATTTGTAATACATGGTTAATTTATGAATAAGTGCATGCATGAACTCATCGTTGTTTTTAATACGAAATACCTGCATTTGTAATACATGATCCGCACGGGGAGCATGTATTAAAAACTGCACTGTACACCCTCTCCGACCAGAAGACAGTCAGCCGCGCACTAACTCGAAGGTGCCAGGCGGACGGGCCAGGGACGAACCACGGGTGGGCAGACCAGAGGCGAAGCGGAGGCAAGCCAGAAAGCAGGGGCAGACGACAGGCGGCGAGGGTTCTCGACAGTCCAGGTCCGAGACTTCCCCTGGCATTACACGAGCGGGCGGAGGCCCGAACACGCAAGGCAGGGCAAGGAAACAGAGACAACAGCAAACTGAAAAAAAGGGGGACGCGGGGACAACTTGAATCGCAAGAGGCAAAAGATGAGGGTCATACAGAAAATGACAAACCAACGGAATCCGAAGCATAACAAGCATCAGCACCCGACGCAGCAACACAACACACAGAGGGAGGGTAGGAGGACTAGTTAATCCAGACGGGGGACAACGACGGATCGAGAAAGCGAAGCAGCAGAACAAAAAGAAAAGGCCAGGGGGGGGGGCAAGGTGGCAAGCGTCGCCCAGCTGCAACCTGCGGCCGACGGTCTCTCCGGCAGAGAGGCGGGCGGGCAACGGGAGGAGGCGGGGCGGCTGCAGGAGCAGTCGCAGCTGGTCTGCAACCCGCGGCCGACGCGCGCTCCGCCTGGTCCGTGCGACGGCCAACGCCCCCAGTGCGCTCGCCGCGGGAGGCTGGGTGCGGTGCCGGCCCACGTCGGCCTGCCGTGCGCCCGGGGGGGCGGCGTAAGGAGCTGGAGCAGCGAGGCCCATCGGGGAAGGCAGGCGCCCCCCGCGGGCGGAATCTCTGGGCTTGCACCGCTTTACGAGTCTAACTGGAAGGCCCAGCGTCACCAGACTGAGTATCGTTTCACCGATCCCCATCCCCCCTCCGGCGTGGGCTGGGCCCCGCTGGCCGATTTACCACCCTAGATGGGGATATAGGCCGTAACCTTCGAGTTTCGAGGGGTGTTAATTTTGCGGGGGTCTCGAAGGGGATGAGCATGGGGATGGGGATCGGTTAAACGATACTGACAGACAGCGGCGCCACGCGAATGCAGGGCCAACCCCTCGCGTGATCATCTCACGAAACGTGCGAGTCAAACCCGCCACTATGGTAGACGGCTCGAAGGACAGACCGCGTCATCACAGTCACATCGCAGTGAGCACACAGCCAAACTAGAAGAGTGAATAAGGACGAGAGGCCGCAACAGCAGAACAGATTCGTCAACGCAACGAGGTAAAATCGGACGTCGCCGCACGAGGAGCCTCATTCTAACATGTACAAGCTGGCAGGATGGAGCGGCATTGCCGAACCGTCTGTCGCGATGGGTATCAGGCGCCTCGACAAACGCAGAGCACTAGTCATCGCGGTCCATCCCCCACTCGGGCCCCAATAAAATCATGATTTGAAACCTGTCCTCGGGGGCGACGGCGCCCCTCCAGCCGGAACCAGAGAATTCAAATTGCGACAAAAATTCACGTGAGCTTCTGGGGCCGCTGGGCAATGCTTACGCTGCGCAACAGAATCGATGCTGCTAACCCCAGAACACCCCATAAGGCAAGCCTTTTGCGGAATGCGAAGACAATGAGCAGCGCAGAAGCATTGGCGGGCCGTGCGAACCACCGGCAGGGCGGTACACATCCAGGTATTCTCCGCCTCCCTGATGCGGATCGCAACCAGGATTGAGCATGGAGAATTCGCCGAGCCTTCTCGTGAGGCAACCCTGTGAGTGCTTAAGTAGAACCAGAGAATCACGCTGCTTGGCCAGAAACCCATGGAACACCCACTGAACAGATCTGCTCGGGGCGAACCTCGGGACAGGGTGCGGGAGGGGAAGTTTCAGCGGCCATCGGCGTATCGAAGTGCACCGCCACCGTTTGCAGGGTGTGATACTCGCGCTCGAAGCGCGCATAGGCCGCGTTAACATACTTTGCGCGACGCCATGCTGCGAAACTCCACCGCGCCAAGTCCACAATCTCTGATCACAGATCCATTACCATCAGACCTGAGAGCATAACGGGCTGGCAAGCGTCACAGGGCCCTGCCGCCAGAATGCGGCGCGCACGCCTGCCAGCCTGCAGAACCTGCATGGCCAGCGGGACAAGCTGGAGGATGCGGGCGAACAGAGATGGCGCGGGGGCGACGGAGACGAATGCCGGCGGAGGGGCCGAGCGCCAGGTTCCGAATGCCGCGCGCACACAGCCAGCACTTGGGAAAGGTGCGATCAAACGCAGCCGACATCCCCATCTGCCCCCAGAGAAACAAAGGCACCGAGCATGCGCGACGATCCTTCAGAAGCAACTCGTGCCTCGCCCTCAGGGTCATGCACTCACTGGTCTGGGTACGCAGGGTTGGGCACGGGGACCTCCTGGAACGTCTGATCCTTCGAGATCAACAACGAGCAATGAGAATTGTGCTCAAACTCTGAGGAGGCCTTGCGAAAGCCGTCAGACGCCCGAGGAGAATTCATATTCTGCAGCGCACACTTCTCGATAATCGCATTGTCATGACGCCGACGGAAAAAAACAACAAAAAAAACATCTGCATCAACTCACTACGGAAGCCGACGATCACGAGACGAGACGGGCGGCTGCGATCCTCTCCCGATCCTCCTTCCTGTCGAGGCCGTCTGGCACCCGCTAGGGACACCCTGCACTCAAGCCCATCCAGCTGGACCGCGGATCAAACTGAACCGACGCAGCTGAGCCTGTGCTTCCTCCAGTACAAAATCGAGACTGGGCAACAAGGTCCTTCATGCTGGCTTCGCATACCTGACGCAGGGTAGCTAGGGATGCCTCTGCATTGCGAGACCGACCTGAAGATTCGACTTCACCGTCTGATCAGCCTCCTGCATCTTCAGATCTATCACATCGGGAAGATTACGAAACGCATTTCCATTCCCAGTAGAGGCACGGCCTGCTGATTCCTCGAGTCCTGTGTGCCCTCGAGTAAGCATGCGTAGCCTTCTGTTTGTCGCTGCGTGCCTGGGTCGAGCTCGTGAAGGATGACTGCATCGCGGCCAGTGCCACGCCGACTGGACGGCCCCCGCGGCGCGCTCATTGCAAGCAGCGCCCCCAGAGGGGGGGGAGAGCAGCAAGGCAAGGCAAGACGTTTGTTTGTTTGCGAACTCCCCGATGGCGCACCGCAGCTCACCGAGGTCGAAGGAAACAGCGTCGGCGAGCAACAGTGAGCGGGAGCCGCATGCAGGCAGACCCGCATGGGAGGCCCACCTCGCCAGGCTCTGGAGGGAGGCGGGGCAGTGAAGAGGGCAGGCCCGCTGAGCGAAGACGGCTGCGGAACAGGAGGAGGCGACGAAGGGAGGGGGACGAGGAGGCACTGGGAGGGAGGGAGGCGGCGAAGGGAGGGAGGGAGGCGACGAAGGGAGGGAGGCACTGGGAGGGAGGAGGAGGCGACGAAGGGAGGGAGGGAGGCGACGAAGGGAGGGGGACGATGGTGGAGTGCCTTTCGGGAGCAAGAACTTCTGGACCAGAGTCTTGGAGAGGTGCGACAGGAGGCCTTTCGCCTCACGCCGGCCGAGAAAAAAGGCATAGGCTGCCAGGCTCCTGATATCGTTCTGGGCCCCATCCAATCCTCCTCCTCCTCCTCCTCCTCCTCCTCCTCCTCCTCCTCCTCTTCCTCCTCCTCCTCCTCCTCCTCCTCCTCCTCCTCCTCCTCTTCCTCCTTAGCATCAGCTTGACCACCATTATGATGACGATCCTCATCAACAGCACCATCACAAACAACAACATCATCGTCAGCAACACCACCATCACCACCACCACCACCACCACCCACCATCATCATCATCATCATCATCATCATCATCATCATCATCATCATCATCATCATCATCATCATCATCATCATCATCATCACCATAATCATCGTCATCATCATCAGCAGCATCATCGTCACCATAATAATCGTCATCATCATCAGCAGCAGCAGCATCATCATCTGCATCATCATCATAATCATCATCACCATCAGCAGCAGCATCATCGTCACCATCATAGTCCGCACCATCGTCATCACATTCTTCTTCTGCTTCAGCAGCATCATCACCGTCATCATCAACATCATCAGCAGCAGCATCGTCTACATCATCATCTGCATCATCAGCATACACACCATCGCCATACTCATAGTCACCAAAATTACGATCATCATAACCAACCTCCTCACCCTCGTCCTCATCATCATCACTACCGAAACCACCATCATCATCCTGATGTCATCATCAGCATCAGCATCATCAAAAACAGCATCCTCATCATCGGCATCATCATCAGCATCATCATCGCCAGCATGATCACCATCACCATCATCCTCATAATCCTCATAATAATCACAACCACAACCACAATCATCATAGTAATCATCAGAATCGTAATCATCAGCACCAGCATAATAAGCAGCATCATCACCATCATCATCATCATCAGTATCATAATCGTCATCGTCATCGGCATCATCACTATCATCATCAACAACAATATCCTCGCCCTCATCCTCCTCATCATCACCACCATCATCATCGTCGTCGACGTCATCGTCGACGTCATCACCTTCATCATCATCAGCAGCAACAGCAGCATGATCATGAGAATCATCGTCCCCGACCTCCTCCTCCTCCTCCTACTCGTTATCATTTGTCTTCTCCTCCTCCTCCTACTCCTCCTCCTCCTCATCCTTCTTATCCTCCTCCTCGTCACTCTCTTCCTCTTCCTCCTCCTCCTACTCCTCCTCCTCATCTTCTTCTTCTCCTCCTCCTCCTCCTCCTCCTCGCTCTCCTCCTCTTCCTCCTCCTCTCCCTCCCCCCTCCCCCCCCCCCGCATCCTCCGCCTCCTTCCTCGTCATCCCTCCCTCATCCTCCCCAGGGAGCCAGCAGAGCTGACTGAGACTCGGTGCCGCGCCCGCCCTCGTGAAGGGCGCGCCGTCGCACCCGAAGGTGGGGAGCGCCACGGCTGCAGAGCAGCTCAGAGCGGCGGGTCGCGAAACGGAGGACGACGCCGGTCTGCTCTCTGAGAGCGCCTCCTCTGGCCGCCCAGGCCACCTAACTCCGCGCGTCGCGCCGCTGGAAGCCCGACGCGCGCGGATCTCCGCGCTCCCTTCTCTGGTGGTCGTGTTTGTTTGTCGTCGTTTTGCCGATCGGCGCGGGCCCTCGCACCCCCCCTCCCCCCTCGCCCCATGGAGTGGATCTTGGCTGTTTGGGGGCGCCTGTTTCGAGCAGGTGGAGTCTCCCCTCATAGGACGCACTGCTGCAAACAGCCGCACTGAGCAGAAGTCCGGAGCCAGACACCCCCCCCCTTTCCCCCCCTTCCGCCCAATGTCGAAACGCCGAATAGAAAACGTTCACCTGGAGGCCTTCTGGAGAAGGACGGCCGTCTGGCCCAAGCCGCCGAGCTCGGAGCGCAGTGTCCTCGGCGCCCCTGCCGGGTACCTCGACGGGTCCCTCGCACAAACGCCCGCGGCGCGCTGCTGCGGCAGGCAGCGGGAACCTCCAGAGGGGGCCTCGGGGCCCTGCGTCTGCGCTGGCTGGCACGAGCCTGGACGCCCAGCCCTCAACCCTGCATGGCTCGCTCGGCCCAGGGCTCGGCCAAATGCAGAAAGAAGAGGGTAGAAAGTAAGAGACACAAAGAGAGAGAGAGAGCGAGAGAGAGAGAGAGTTGCGGACTACTATCGGACTGGGTCTTCCCTTTTCTTGGCCATTGCATTGACCGGAGCAGAGTGCTGGACTCATCGGCACTTCATGATGATAACTGAGCAGACGAAGAACGCTGCTTACACGGCCACGCCAAGATCCCACACCCGAGGGCGACCGCTGGTTTCGCCGACGGCTGGTTTCGCCGACGGCTGGTTTCGCCCGGCTGGTTTCGCCGCCCGGCGAAACCAGCTCCGTCGGCGAAACCAGCTACCGCCGGCGAAACCAGCTGCCGCCGGCAAAACTGCCCGACCCGACCCGCCCGCTAGGGTCCGCCCGCCCGACCCGACCCGCCCGTTAGGGTTCGCGCGTGCTCGGTCGAGCGTGCCCCACACTTTGATGTCCCGCCCGCCCGACCCGACCCGCCCGTTGGCCCGACCCGCCCGTTAGGGTCCGCCCGCCCGACCCGACCGAACCCGCCCGCTAAGGTCCGCCCGCCCGACCCGACCCGCCCGTTAGGGCTCGCGTCGGCGAAACCAGCGCCGGCGAAACCAGCCCATGCCCACCCGAGACGGCTCCACGTCGAGTTGAGGACTACTATCGGACTGGGTCTTTCCTGTTCTTGGGCATTGACTGGAGCTGAGTCCTGGACTCCTCGGCACTTCACGATGATACCTGAACGGAGGAAGAACGCAGCTCACACGGCCACGCCAAGATCCCACACCTGGGACGGCTCCGCGTCGAATGCCACTCCCAACCTCAGATCCACGGGCGGCCTGCCACGGAGTGAGCCTCCCGCAAGACGTGGCGGGGCCGAGGGGACTAACTCCCAGAGCCGAGGCCAGGTCAGACGCCGAGGGCAAAGCTCATGGCATGGCAAGCGACGTGGAGGAGGAGGAGGAGGAGGAGGAGGAGGAGGAGGAGGAGGAGGAGGAGGAGAAGAAGGAGGAGGCGGGGGACGAGGAGGAGGAGAAGGAGGACGAGGAGAAGAAGGAGGAGGAGGACGAGGAGAAGGAGGAGGAGGACGAGGAGGAGGAGGACGAGGAGGAGGAGGACGAGGAGGAGGAGGAGGACGACGACGACGACGAGGACGAGGAGGAGGAGGAGGAGGAGGAGGAGGAGGAGGAGGAGGGGGAGGAGGGGGAGGGGGGAGGAGGAGAAGGAGGAGGAGTGAGGACGAGGAGGAGGAGGAGGAGACGAGGAGAAGAAGGAGGATGAGGAGGAGGAGGAGGAAGACGAGGAGAAGAAGCAGGGATGGGAGGACGAGGAGGAGGAGGAGGAGGACGAGGAGGAGGGAGGGGGGAGGAGGAGGAGGAGGAGGGAGGAGGAGGAGAGAGGAGGAGGAGGAGGAGGGAGGAGGAGGAGGAGGAGGACGAGGAGGAGGAGGAGGACGAGGAGGAGGAGGAGGAGGGGAGGGGAGAAGGAGGAGGAGGGGAGGAGGAGGAGCGAGGGTGGAAGGAGGAGGAGGAGGAGGAGGAGGAGGAGGAGGAGGAGGAGAGGAGGAGGAGGGAGGGGAGGAGGAGAGAGAGGAGGAGGAGGAGGAGGAGAGGAGGAGGAGGAGGAGGAGGAGGAGGAGGAGGAGGAGGAGGAGGGAGGAGGAGGAGGAGGAGGAGGAGGAGGAGAGGAGGAGGACGGAGGAGGAGGGGAGGAGGAGGAGGAGGAGGAGGAGGAGGAGGAGAGGAGGAGGAGGAGGGAGGAGGACGAGAAGGGGAGACGAGGAGGAGGACGAGGAGGAGGAGGAGGAGGAGGACGACGACGACGACGACGACGAGGACGAGGAGGAGGAGGCGGAGGAGGAGGAGGGGGAGGGGGAGGGGGAGGAGGAGAAGGAGGAGGAGGAGGAGGAGGAGGAGGAGGAGGAGGAGGAGGGGGAGAGGGAAGAAGAGGAGGAGGAGGAGGAGAAGGGAGGTGAAGGGACGTGTGAACCCGCCCCCCCGTGAACTGCAGAGTCATGGGGGTCGGGGGAGTCCAACGGTAACCCTGCTCGGAGCCGGAAGCCCCGACGGCCTCGTGAGCTGTGCCCTCGGATGGCTCGAACCCTGCACGACCTCACGGGCTCTGCGTCCGGGCAGCATCTCGGCAGGGAGAGGCCAATCTCGGGGCGTCAGCGCCGCAGCTTGGAAACTCCCGCCGCGATCGGGCCGTCGGCACGAGCATCTCCACCGCGCCCAAGGAGCCGGAAGCAACACAGCACGGCAGGAAGGACCCGTGCATTTGTTCTACCCCAGACACCCTCGAGGCGTGCACACAAATCGCGACGAGGGCGACTTCGCCACTTTCGGCCTCTGGGAACCCTTACCGGACCAGGACAGGGCAGGGCAGGAAAAGGCCGCGCCCGGATGGCGCATCGGCAGAACATAACAGTTTGCAAAGGCCACGGAAAAATCAAGCGACGACCATTCCGCGCTGAATGCAAGCGTGCCGGAACGCAGCCACTGCGCATCACAACGGACCCAGGGACTGTAATAAACCTACCAGGGATCAAAAATTGGCCCCCGTGAAAATGGTCGAGAATTCCAGTGGCCACGATGCGGATAAAAAACAAACAAACAAAAACACACACACACACACACTCACACGTACACACAAGGTCAGTGCTCTGGGACTGCAATCTGGCATGACAGACCCGAGACGGCCCGAAGAAACATTGCTATCCCCTCCCAATCGTTACTTGTGCAATTGTCTGAGTTTTCTGTCTAGCTCCGTTTCGAATCGAGCGCTCCAGGACGCGCTCATGCGAGCTCTGACGGCCGAACGCCTCACGGCCGCCTTGCTGCAGACAGGGGCCTCGGCCCTAGCCCTCCGATCGACCTCCCTCTCCCCATCACCCATCCCCCTCCTCCTTCTCCTCTCCTCCACCCGATACTCCCTTCTGCCACGTGGAACACCAAATGAAGAAGAGACGAGCACCGTCGGTTTCGGTCCAGACGCAGCTGAATGCTAGAAGCCTGGTCCCCAACCTGATGTGGCACGAGGGGCGCCTTGTCGAAAGAGCTGGACCGCTGCTCTGTTCCAGTGCTCGACAGAACTGGCCATGGGCACTGCTGGTCGTGGACTCGTAGCCACAGAGGTACAGGGCCGCCTGGGGTCGGGGGGGAGCAAGGCCGGCAGAAGCTCCACGTACAGGTTCGTTCTTGGCCGTATCGGATCTCAGGCTTCCTGACGTCGGGCCCGTCGGCTTTTCAGTCCTGCGGATGGGTCTCGTGACCGGTTCCAGCCTGGCAGTAGGCCCCGGGATCCAGCTCGAGAGCTCAGAGGCCCGGGGGACGGTTCATGTGAATGGCTCTTGCACGGTCGCGAATCAGACCCCAGGGCTCCCAAGACTTTACTCCGAACCGATGTCGGAACAAAGGAGGAGAAAAGGAAAGGCAAACTAAGTGCGTTCGCGCCAAAATAGCTGCAGACATTGATAGAGGAGGCGGCGGATGAGCATCTTTCTTCTCCCAGCGTATCACCAGCAAAATACGTCCGTGAGAAGTCTGTCCACAGCGCCAGGCCGCGCACGTGCACGAGAGAGGCGGGGCGGCACCGGCGGGGACGAGGGCGAGGGTGCTCGGACGACCACATGCGGGACACCCTGGCGCGTAAGCGACAGGAGAGAAAAGAGACGGCCCACATCTAGGGGGCCACATGCGAACCCTACCCCTACCCCCCGCGACTTCTGAGGGGGAGAGTGGGGTTCACTTCGCTCGGGAGCTCCCGAACGAAGTGAACCCCACCCTCCCCCTCAGAAATCGTGGGAGGTAGGGGTAGGGTTCGCATGTGGCCCCCTAACATCGGACACGAATGGGTACCCCACTGGTCGAAACCGAGGCCTGCCGACACGCACGCAGACGGCAGAGGGGCCCAACCCCCACCAGCGCCGCCAGCGGCACCAGCACGGGCACGGGGAAGGGAGCCCGCAGCAGCACAGGGCGAGGGAGCAGCAGCAGCGGGGAAGCACACAGGGGAGCCGCCCCGGGTGGGGGAGGGGGGAGGGAATTTCCTCCTCCTCCTCCTCCTCCTCCTACCTCCTCCTCCTCCTCCCTCCTCCTCCTCCTCCTCCTTCCCCCTCCTCCTCCTGCTCCTCCTCCTCCTTCCTCCTCCTCCTCCCTCATCCTCCTCCTCCTCCTCCTCCTCCTCCTCCTCCTCCTCCTCCTCCTCCTCCTCCTCCTCCTCCTCGCCCCCTTTGTGCGCGCCGACGGCTGGTCAATGGCTGCCCCAAGAGGCTGCCGGCACCCCCTTCGGGAAAAGGCAGGCCAGAGAAGCGCGACTGCCTCCTACCCCAGCGAGAGCACTGCGGCGCGGCAGGGGCACGCACGCAGGGGAGGGCGCCCGGTGCTTGCACGAGAGCACGCGGCGCGAGCCGGGGCGCATGGCGAGAGGACGAGGGACCTCCCGCGCTGGCGGATCGGGTGCCAGGCCGCCTGCGGAAGCCATCCTCGCGGGAGCCCCCTTTTCAGCGCGGCGACGAGGAATCCGACTAATCACAAGAGCGCGGCAGGCGGCCGCGGGGCGGGACGAAGAGCCACGGCGGCTAAATGGCGCGCAGGCGGCGGGCGGCAGGGGGCGACAGCAAAAGAGGCAGGGAGACAGAGAAAGAGAGCAAAGCCAGGCGGGCTAAACCAACATATCTGCTTAAAGAGACGCACTGACACTCAAACCAGGCAGCATGAATCAACGCTGGCCGACCTTCGCAGCAGTCACCGAGAGCCCAAAAACGAATTAACAACTCATGCACCGAGGGAGGCGGGGGGGCAAACGGGGTGGAGACTAAAACGGGGGACACTAGAAAACCTCACGAACAATACCGCACGGTCAACTCGGGGGGGCAGGTGGGGGGAGGGGCAAGAGGAATGATCGGACGCCGACTGGCAAGCTACCTCGGACGGGCAGTCAAAGGAGAGATACCTGGGCACTGCGATCCCGTTCGTCGGGAGATCAGAGCAGAGAGAAAGCACATTGCTAATGCACAACAAACAAATCAGGCCCCCCGACCTGCCCCACTATACCACCAAAGAAAAGACTACTGAAAGCCCATCATCACAAACCAGCCTCTCAGTCCAGGCCAGGGGAAAGCCGCCTCCTGGAAACCAGGCAACCAGGGACGCCTCGGACTTCGGGCAGCTAAGACAATGCCCGGGGTCGTAGTCTAAGCCGTCACTAGGACATCCGAAACGCACGCATCTGGATAGTGGAGTGGAGTCTGCTCGAAGTACATACCTTGCGACACGATACCCAGAGCACCCCAGAGCACCCCCGTGACGAAGGGCATCGCGCCATCCTTCCCTACGGCGGGCATCCTTCTGGCAAGAGCCCGAAAGTCAGAGAGCATCATGAACCGCCCAGGGCTCGCGCAATTTCCCACTGCAGGCAGATCCCCGACGAAAACTAAGAAGTGTAAACAAATATTCTCACCAGACTAATGTTTGAGTGTTTTTCCCTACCTAGGCTCTGCCTAGAAGGGTTCTTAATATGTTAGTTTAAAGGGGCCGGGCAGTGGGGCTCGCCCCGGGCAGTTCCCCCAGTATCCGCCCCGCGGTTCCCCCAGCTACGTATCCTTAGCTTAGCGTTGCTTATCTCATATTAGCTTATCTGATTTCATCTTAGCTTAGCTTAGCTTCATCCTAGCTCAGGTTTATCTTAGCTTAGCTTACCTTCATATTAGCTTCGCTGAGCTTTAGCATAGCAGGGCACAGCATAGCATAGCATAACGCAGCATAGCATAGCATAGCATAGCATAGCATAGCATAGCCAAGCATAGCATAGCATAGCAAAGCGCAGCATAGCATAACATAGCATAGCATAGCATAGCATAGCACAGCGCAGAACAGCATAGCATAGCAGAGCATAGCATAGCGCAGTATAGCATGGTATAACCTAGCATAGCATAGCACAGTTTAGCATAGCACAGCGCAGCATGGCATAGCATAGCCTAGCATAGCATAGCATAGCATAATATAGCATATCATAACATAGCATAGCATAGCATAGCATAGCATAGCGCAGCATAGCATAGCAGAGCAGAGCATAGCATAGCGCAGCATAGCATAGTATAGCATAGCATAGCATAGCATAGCATAGCATAGCAACTAATGCTGCTTTCCTAGGGGCTCCAACTTCTAGGTAGGGTCGCACTGGGGTAATTGAATACTCCCCCTTTAGAGGGATATGCCCGATTTGACAGAAACGGAGGGGCCCCAAAGGCTTTCAGACGTTCGGTCGCTTTCATCTGCAGGAGCTTCTCGGGGGAGGCTCTGCGCGGGGCGCACAGAATGTTGCCACTTCGCCGGCCACAGTCCAGCCAGCCCCCCAGTTAGACATTCACCAACCCGAGCAAGTGAAAGCACTCCACCCCCCACCCCCCCTTCCTCCGCAAGTGATCTGCGACTCGACCAGCGTCCAAGGCTCCTGTGGCCAAGCCCTTGAACGTTGGGGGGTTCAGCCCCAATCCAAGCGCGCCGTCAAGTTGCAACGGGAGCGACTGAACGGATTGACAGTGACGGGATGCTGAGAATAAGGCAAGCACGATCGTCGGCGCACTCACGCATGCGAGGAACGCGAACCGCCACCTTCACTCTGAGCTAGCGAAAAAACAAGGCGAAGAGCGCAGCCAAAGAAGAGGATGGATGCAACACCACCCTGTCGAAGCCCACGACGGGCAGCACCTTCTCTCGGCAACACTCCAGGAGAATGTGCGGCCGCAGCGCTGTCGTTAGGTCGGGCATGTCCCCCTACAGGCGGTTGGTTCTCGGGCGAAAATAATCCAAACATATTCCAAAAAAGGTCGCACAAAAAAAAGTAGTAGTAGTAGTAGTAGTAGTAGTAGTAGTAGTAGTAGTAGTAGTAGTAGTAGTAGTAGTAGTAGTAGTAGTAGTAGTAGTAGTAGTAGTAGTAGTAGTAGTAGTAGTAGTAGTAGTAGTAGTAGTAGTAGTAGTAGTAGTAGTAGTAGTAGTAGTAGTAGTAGTAGTAGTAGAAGTAGTAGAAGTAGTAGTAGTAGTAGTAGTAGTAGTAGTAATAATAATAATAATAATCATAATAATAAATAGTCCCCAGACCATTTTTAGACTATGTTTGAACTTTCCTCCTGCAGAGGGCCACGCCCGACTTAACACTGTCGAGACAGGGCTGCCCAGGAGACCTCGGGGGGGGTCCCCCCTCGGGGGGGGGCCCCCGTGGCCGCCCGCGCCGCCGGGGCCCCGGGCAGCACGGAGCGGAGTGGGCGCAGCCTTCAAGTCCGTGAGGAGCATGCCCGATCTGTCACTGGGTCGGGCCCGTCCCCTCGTCCTCCTCCTGTTCCTCCTCCTCCTCCTCCTCCTCCTCCTCCTCCGCCTCCTCCTCCTCCTCCTCCTCCTCTTCCCCCACAGGGAGATTTTGGGCGAGAAAGCAAGAACAGTCACAGCATGTCCCAAACATGATCAAAAATAGCCAAAAAAAAATCGTCCCCGGACCATCTTGTCACCATCTTTGAATCTCCCCCCTGTAGAGGGACAGGCCCGACTCAAATCGATCACCGCCCGTGGGAGCGCCGACGGCCCACCGCTCAAGTCCCACAACGGTGTCCAGGAGTCCCCTGGAATCGATGGTCCTGCCCGCTGCACGCTGGAGACGAAACGAGCACGCATCGCTCCACGGCTTCGCACCAGCGCTCGCGAGAGTCAGCGGGAGCGTCTTACCGGGCGAACACACCAGGCGGCCAAGCTCTCACCTTCCTTCACGTCTGTTTGGCAAGAGGCACACCCTCCAACCCCTTGCACCGGAGGAAAAAATGGTGGGGCGAGAGATGGGAAGCAGTGTTGGGGGGAGCCATGCGAGAAGCACGGTAAGCAATGGCGTAAGAAAACGGGTTGGTCAACGCCTGAATCTGGCAGCTGAACCGGGTAAAACCCTGTCTTGACAGCTGACACTAGCATCATCCCGACGCCCACCTGCGCGTCCGCACAGGAGGTAGCAAGCGGAGAAGAGCACACTGTGGTCCATGGGCACAAGAGAAGAAAAGAGCTGAGGAGAAAGAGGGGGATATATATATATATAGAGAGAGAGAGAGACAGCTAAAGAGACGGAGAGACAAAAAACAAAAACTGCGAGAGGAAGACAGGGAGAAAGAGAAAGGGAGCAAGAGAAAGGGAGAGAAAGAGAGAGAGAGAGAGATGTGTGTGTACATATGTGTATATATATACCAGAAACCAGCGGAGAGATGCGTACACATACCCACAGAGAGAAGCAAACAAAAGTTGCGATGTGCCGACGAGCATACAAGCCCGTTGCAACATCTCCTTCCCCGTCTTCATTGGAGCTATCGGTCTCACTGCACCTACAGTTGCCTTCACAGCCATCTCAATGTCAGCCTCTATCTCCATTTGCGTCGGGCGTCCTCGCGATTCCTCTTCGTCTGTATGCATCGTGCCATCCTTGATCTCGTTTGCACTCTCGCTCTCTCTCTCTCTCTCGCTCTCTCTCTCTCTCGCTCTCTCTTTCTCTCTCTTTCTCCCGCCCCCTCGAGTTGTTCAGGCAGACAGGAGTACAATATCATCACAGTCATAACCATTATTGCCATTGGTTCCTCACTCTGCCGCCTTCAAGGTACCTGCTGCAACAAACAACACTAGCAGAAAGACGTCCTGCGACATGTAATTGTGGGACAAGTGTAGTCTGGCCCCGCATCCCTATCTACAGGAGGACGAGCTGAGAGTAGCATGACGCACGAAGTTGCAGGGCTCAAGGCACGTACGCACGTCTTCTATCATTCTTGCACCAGAAGAGATGAGGCATGTGATATGCTATCAGACTGGTTACCGCCGCAGTCAGCATGAACCACGCGACGTGCCACACCGAGGAATGTGTACGAACCATTGTCTTAGCAGCCAAGCCGGTACGCGGCCGACAATCGAGCAATTAATCGCTAGAGGGCTACACACATCGAAGCTGGACCAACAGAAGAGCACAATCGGCTACACGCAAGAGCGACCATGGGCAAGAGTGACCTGTGGTGCGCGGCTTTTGGGGGGCCGCGGGGGGACCAAACACAGGCGCGCCAGACGCTACCAGCGCATCGCGCCCGGCGATCGGGGGGCCCCAGTGTGCCCGCTCCAGAGGTCACTCCGGCGAAGGGTCACTCTTACATCTAGTCGACACAAGAAGGTCCAAGTCATAGGACGGACCTGCAGGTGATGGCGCCAAAGCGGGCTTAAGGAGCCCGCCGGCTTCACAGCGGGGCTTCACCATACGGTCGCAGCACCGTGGCCCTGCACGTGCGCACCCCATGGGGGCAGCCACGGCCGAGCGCGCTCGGCAGGGGTGTGGGGGGCACGCTGTCGACGCGCCGCGCTGCAGCGCGCATCTCCCTCCGCAGTCTGGCCTTGTCGTGTGCCACGCGTCGCCAGACTGTTCCGGCGAGAACAACTCCTTGGATGGACAAGCCGTACCCGAAACTGCCCGCCGACGATGCAGGCATCCCCCAGGACACTCGGAAAATCTGCGCAGCGGACCGTTGCTGAGGCTGCGAGGAGAAAGAGGAGGGCGAGGGGAGGCAGGAGGAAGAGTGTGGCCCTCATCCTCCCCCGCATCCCTCTTTTCCCTTATCCTCTTCTCACCTCCTCTTCCTCTCGCTGTTTTGCATTGATCGGTCATGAAACAGGCCCTTCTCCCTCCTCCTCCTCCTCCTCCTCCTCCTCCTCCTCCTCCTCATCATCATCATCATCATCATCATCATCATCATCATCATCATCATCATCATGATCATCATCATCATCATCATCATCATCATCACATCAGCATCATCATCATCATCATCATCATCATCATCATCATCATCATCATCATCATCATCATCATCATCATCATCATCATCATCATCATCATCATCATCATCCCCCTCCTGATCCTCCATGATCCTCATCCTCCGTCGTCTATCCGCATTCCTCGCTCCTATTCCCTCCTAGCTTCTCGCTCTCTTACCCCTCCTCCTCCTCCCTCCCTCCCCGCTGCGAGGCAGCATGGAGAGCCTGGAGCTGGCCCACCCTCTGCTTCTCCAGGGCGGCAGGGCACTTCTTTCCACTTGCGACATCACGCCGCCCCAGCTCCCCACGCCACTCGGGGTCAACCACACTGCGAAGCAACACGTCGCCAGGCAGACCAGGAACGCCACCCAGGCCGACCTGCAATAGGAAAACTGAGCCAGCAAAAAGCGCCCAGGGGATGCAAGGCGAGCGCGCCGCAGCCAGTACTACAGAAGGACACGAGATGCACAAGCGCGCGCCAGAAGAAGCAAACGCGCCAGCAGTGATGGGCCAATGTTCCACCACCACTACCATACGGAGGACGGGGGAGAAGGGAGGATGGGAAGGTCCTCCTCCTCCTCCTCCTCTCCTCCTCCTCCTCCTCCTCCTCCTCCTCCTCCTCCTCCTCCTCCTCCTCCTCCTCCTCCTCCTCCTTCCTTTCCTACCTATGGTGGTGGTGGTGGAAAATCGGCCCCTGAAGCACAAGATAGGGCTCCACGGGTAGAGGATGTTGCAGTGCACAAGCCCCACCTGCGTCGCCGATGGCACGGGACGCCACTGCCGTGGAGCGAGATCCAACGAGGCAGGCGTGCGCAGAGAGAGAGCCCGGTGTGCGCGGTGTGTGCCAGCACGTGTCCTGGCATGAATGCAGGCAGTTTGCTCACCAAGCAAAACACCTAGCAAACAGATACGGTGGAGGTTTTAGATGAGGGTGCCTTCGGTAAGGAACCCAGGGTCTCGCGACCGATGGGCGGCCAAACGTGGACCACCCACCTCGCCTTGAAACAAGAAGGAATGCGCCAGGGTCTGGGCCCCAGGAAGACGTTCCTTATCCAATGCCGCCGCCGCAGTCAAGCTGCAGCCTGTGACGCTGACAAAAAAAACGGGACCGCAGTCGACACCGGCAATGGCGTAAAGAAGCGAGCAAGCACACCCCCAAGGTGACGAGCACAGACTCAAAAGACCACTGCAACATGTCGGAATCACGCGCGACCGCGTAGCCGCAGACTGGCACAGCGCGCTCGCGCAATCCGTCGGACTTAAGCCACTCCGCGTGCCAGGCCAAGAATTGCGCGGCTGGTGCCACGCACGTGCACACCGAGCGAAGAGAGGGGGCGAGAGGGACGGAGGAAGGACGAGCGGGGAGACGCAGGCTCGGCCAGAGCGCCAGACAGGGGTGTGCGAGAAGCACGCGCTCCCAGCTCCGAGACAACGCGTGCGCTCCGAGAGCGCACGCCCAACAGGCACGCACCCACGGCTCCACGACCGAAAACGCCCGCCGCGGCTCCTCCTCCCAAGCATCATCTTCCTCACCGTCATCCTAGCATCCCTCTCTACCTCTCTATATGCCTCCTCCTCCTCCTCCTCCTCCTCCTCCTCCTCCTCCTCCTCCTCCTCCTCCTCCTCCTACAGCTCCTTCTCTTCACGTCATCGCTACCATCACACTATGCATCAGCATCAGCAGCAGCATCATCGTCATCAGCATCATCATCACCATCATCATCAGCATCCTCATCATCACCACCACCACATACCACCCGATCCTCCTCCGTCATACCGGCGCGCGACAGTATGCACAGCGAGGCGCGGCTGCTCCATTTTCCTCAAACTTCTTCTCCTCCTCCCCCTTTCCCTCTTCCTGATCCTCCTCCCCCATTTCCCTCCCTCCTCCTCTCCTCCTTCCCGCCCCCTTTCCTCCCCCTCCCCTTCCCCCTCCTCCTTCTCCTCCTCCCCCATTTCCTTCCTCTCTCTCTCTCTCTCTTTCTCTTTCTCTCTCCCCCTGTCCCCTGGACACTCGAAGAGAAAAGAATGGAAAGGAGGGGGGTGGGAGACCCCGTCTAAGGCAGCTGGTACTCTTAATCAGCTCGTTGGAGGAGGAAGAGGAGGAGGAGGACGACGAGGAGGACGAGGAGGACGAGGAGGACGAGGAGGCGGAGGAGGAGGAGGAGGAGGAGGAGGCGAAGGCGGAGGCGGAGGAGGAGAAGGATGAGTAGGAGGAGGCGGACGAGGAGGAGGAGGAGGAGCAGGAGGACGAGGGGTATCGAGCTGCGGCTCGCGACTACCATCGGAGGGAAACAACAAACAAATTGTCCGCGGCCCTGTTCGAATTGGATTGGTCACGGTGCTGTTTCGCACAGGCGCTGCCACGTCAGATGCCTTGGACGTCGTTCCATGCTTGTCCTTGTCACGTGGCCGGGCCCGAATCGCTCGACCCCATCCCATGGAGACTTGTTTCGCCCCGAGCTGTTGTTGATTGTCCTGGGTCCCGAAAACGGCCCCCAGACACCTGGACCTGTACACATGTGGAGCGTGCGCGTACACATTTGCTAGGAATCTACACGTCGTCAATTTCTAATCATGCTCATTTCTAATTGTGCTCGTTACTAATTGTTCCTGGTCCCCTAGTGGCCAGGAAGAGACCCAGGATAGAACAATTGGAAATGAAAGGATCTTGCCCAAAAAAGTCAAAGAACTTTCGAAGAATTCGAAATGAACAATGTGTACACACAACCGAAAAACGCATACAACCCTTCAACACACAGAAAAGCCGAGGCTTGCAGCTTCCAGGCCACATGGTCGCTGTCGCAGGAGAGCCCAGGATCGAATCGATAAGTCGGATCGGCGAAGAAAATGAATCGGATCGGCGGAAATCGGCAGCCGAGTCCGGAGAAGTCGAATCCACGGACATCAGCAGGCTAGTAAGCCTCCATGGAGAAATCGGAATCAAAATCGGAATCCGAAGTCGAATTGAATCGGAATCGGAAGCCATCGACATCGAATCGAATCGATCCGGAGGAATCGACGCGAGCCCTGGCGCGTGGGCAGCGAATCGCTGCCCACGCGCCGACAGCGAGCACGCCTCCCCCGCGCCCCCTCCCGTACACGCCAGGCTCCGGCGAGCGCTCTATCAGCTGCGCCAGCGCCTGAGAGAGAGGGGGCGTCGCCCAGGCGGCTCCTCCTCTCCTCCCCCTCCGACCGCCCCAGCGGCCACGTTCCTTGGAGCTGCTGCTGCTCCTCCTCTTCCTCCGAACGAGGGAGGGCAGCTTGCGCTGCCGCGAGGTGAAGGGCGGGTGTGGAACTCTGCTTAGGACCCAACTCGGTGTTGTAATCGTGATGCCCGTGATGCCGGTTTTGGGAGGTCCTTCAGGCAGTCGGCAACCGCAACCTCCGAAGGAGGGTGAGATCATGAAACTCCCAAACGACCCCCAAACTCCCCCCTCCACAGGCCCCCGAGAGCGCTCCGCACCTCCGGGAGCATTCCCGAGGACTGTGACCCAGAACCCACGCACGGTGGCAGAACGGGCCGAGGGCCCTGGGATCCGCCGCACCCTGTTGCTTTAGCAAAGGGGTGCCCGGCGTGCTGGATCCTATCGGTTTTGGTTCTTTTTCCAAAAGAACTCTCCCAGTGGGTTTCGGCCCGTCCCGCCGGGGCCCCGGGATTTTTTCCACGGACCTCACTTCCCCAATTTTCTGCCCAAGACGGCTCCAAGATGGCCTCGAAGATGGCCAAGATGGCCCAAGATGGCCTCCAAGATGGTCCAAGATGGCCTCCAAGTCCGCCCAAGATGGTCCAAGACGGC